TATATATATATATGTGTGTGTGTGTGTGTGTGTGTGTGTGAGTGTGAGTGTATGTTTGTGTATCTGTATATGTTTATGTTTATGAAAATAGGTTCAAATATGTATGCTTGAAAGACTTTCATACATATATTGAGATCACTCAAATATATCTGAGAATAAATTTTACCTTGTCTTGTTCGTATGTAACAGAACGGACGTCCGACGAGGAGAAAAATGTGTAGGAAAAAATGGAGGTGACAAGAAAGCCTAGGAATCTCGCCAGCAATGGGGATTCCGCATGGGATCGGGGGCTCAGAAATGGGTATGTTCAGTTTGACATTGAATTGTCATGTTTGGTAGTGCGGTCGGATCAGAATGATTGGGCCTATGATAGTATCTACAACATGGTTAGACATGACAATAGTTCAACAAATGCTTGTAAAGGAACGAATGTTACTTCGGTACATTAATCGGATGATAGGAGGACTTGGAGTATCCGAACCAAAATACAGGTAGTTGCAAGCTGCAAATATATGTTATGCGGCTCTGATTCGAGATCGAAAGCGTTTTACGAACTACACAGCACGTAGCGACTCCTAATCTGGGGGGCTGACATGTGTTGAACGTAAATGAAAAACTGATTGTTTTGCGCTGGAACTGGGATGAGCGTTCGATTCAGAAGTTAATGTGTCTTTGTGAACCCTATCGATACGCAACGTATTCGATGTTGTTGTCTTGAGCAAGGATGTCGTCGTCATATATCTCTAATCTCATATCAATCCATTCACCAGGAGGAAAGAGCAGGCGAGGTTTCACCGACGCAAAGAAGCCGCCAGATTCTTGTCTACCATCTCTATGAAAGCCGAACCCAACCAGGCTGGTGTGACGCCCTCAGCAAATACATCCTTGCATCGGGTATGTACGCAATCATGCCAAGATTCTTGCCTAGACTCTCAGCGAGAAAGGATTCCACTCTTATTAAGTACTGTATATCTACTGTGGCTGACGCGCGAGGTCTGCGGGGGAAGTTGCTGTGTGTCTCTCTCGACTGTACACTACGCTTGGACCGCCCAACACATAAAGAATCGATAGCATTGGTCGAACTAGGCCGACACCAGTATAGATCCGAATTACGGATGTTATTTGCGAAAGACACGCATCACCCACACACCCCTTAATCCCTTTACTTATGCTGAGGCTTTTGTGCATTCAAATCCCTCGCTCGGAGACTAGCTAATGCACACCGCGATTATTCCTATGAATAGCTTAGTTTCGAAATCAGGGCTACCCCGTCTTGGCAATGTTAACCGTATTCTATCGAAACTTATATAGCGCCATTACACCACCTTTGTAGTTATAGTCTCACTGCTGGAGGGCGTTATCCTTATCCATATGTATTATTTACCGGCTCGTCCATCGAGTGTTCTAGAATTTGGTAAGTTGATTTAAACGACTGAGTCATTCACCGAGAACTCGCATCTCAGCATTATCGTAGTACATCCCAGTAGATCAACTGGTACTGGGAAGTGCATAGCAGCACCTTTCAATGCGGCCTCGGGGTTTTTATTCCCATGATGGAGTATTTTGCACTGTCAATCACACTCGCATGTGTGCAATGTATCAGCTCTCAGACACACCGTGTAGTTGCTGTTTTACGCACGTATTGGCCCGTTGGGCAATCACAATATGTGTGCTGTGGCACATATCTTCTGACAGGTTGCTGAGATATGGGTGGAGTGTAAGCTACAAGTATTGTACATCATACTGTGTGTAAGTTATTGTGCGTAGTCTGTTCATCCTTTGTCGCCATTGTACGTGCCGTATAGTATGCGCCACACACAGAGGCGTGAGTATTCATACTCATGTATGTCCCGCACTGCCCTCTGCGTCGTCCGTTCTCTCAGGTGCGATTAAACATCAACAGATCCAATGAAGACCTACAGGTATCCCACGATGACCAGCGCCACGGTAATGGTACAGGCCATGGCGTGGCTATGGCCGACATCAATAGCATCGATAGTCGCCCGATGATGCAACAGGTTGTTAATGTTTTGGCGAAGTGTCCAATTCATTCCAGTTCAGTGGTGTCCTCAAGATTTTAAAAAACAGATGGTCTAGTATATGGATTCGTTCTCCTCTGCGGAGGCTATTCACTTAGGGTGTGGAAGTGTCGCTACCTTAAGTGGTGTGTACATGTCACGAGTGTCCTAAGTGGATTGGCGGCTGTGTGTGTATAATGGACAAGATAGAGGTGTCTCGTTCGCTGCAGTATGAATGGAAGAAGGCCCGTACCATAATACTCGATATGCATAGTGTTTATGCACGAAAATATCGTTATTCAATATATATATATATATATGATTTTATATATGATTTCATGTGCGTCGGTCATTATAGTCAAGCTTTGAGACGACTTGATTAAATTTTTCTCGGTGCCTCCCTGTGTCTGCTCCAATGGTCTTTGCGCAACACTCAACCGAGTTGACCTGGTGTGTTGCTAGTTAACCCGTTCACTAGGAGTCTGCATATATACACATTTGGTCTTCATCGAAACGGTTTATGTATTTTGATTCATAAACATGTGACCTTTCATTATTAACATCGTAGGATACTGACGACATTAGAGAAGGCCAACTTCTTGAACCAGGTCTGTTACGTATCAGAGTCAGGGGTGGTGTGTTGTGGCCACTGTGTCGTCTGGTGTACCTTCTCGCAAGATGCATTAGAGGTTAGGGATCTGGGTAGTCGTGTGGTATTCATATCACTTGATAGACCGTGACATCTCCATTTTAACAAAGTGCGCGAGGCTACCATGATTGCGACGTTACTATCCATGATTGATACGTTGCTATCCATGATTGTGACGTTGCTATTTATGATTGATACGTTGCTATCCATGATTGAGACGTTGCTATCCATGATTGAGACGTTGCTATCCGTGATTGTGACGTTGTTATCCATG